ATAGACAGGTGCATAGATAAATAGACAGGTAGATGGAGAGAGGATAGTCTTTACTTTTGTAATGAATATAGTCATTACTATATCTCAGGCACCCAGGTGAGTCTAGTATAACTTCAACAGAATAATTGAATTACAAATCAACCAAGCTGTGCCAAGCAGCGAGGGAACATGCCAATGTGATAGAGGGAGGAAAATAGAAAATAATGCCAAAAATAAAAGAGAAAAAGAAAAAGAAAAAAAATCACAGCATATGTGAGGTATTGTGGGGAGAGACATAAATAAACAGAGGCAAATCCTGAACAGAGGCTCAGATGGAGGACGGGAGAGAGAGAGAGAGAGAGAGAGAGAGAGAGAGGTCTCGGCTGTTTCAGCACATCAATCAGAGTGTGTGTCTGTGAGAGTAATTAGTAACCTGCCGACGGGCAGCGTCTCTCTAATTGTTCACTGCTTTGCTGCAGCCTATTTCTCCTGCTCTTCCTTCATCTCCCTTACTTTCATGTACCGTCAGTCTTCTAGAGTGTTAATGTGTGGGGTGTATATGTGTCTGTGTGTGTGCTGTTGTGTGCATCTTGTGAAATGAGACTACAAAAATTATGACTGGAGGTGTGGAGACGGAAGAGAGGAAAAGACACACACACACACACACACACACAGAGAGAGAGAGATAGCGACAAAAAAATGCAGTAAGGCAATCTAAGCTTGTGAGAATAGAAACATTGAGGCTGTGTGTGTGTGTGGGGGCGGGGGGGTAATCTGTAATCTGAGTGTGTATTTACCGATAGCCTCACTGACTTCACCCACAATAGAAGGATTAGCCAAGAATCTGCAAGAAAATATTACACAAACACACAGACATCCCACCTCACAGAAAACACACACACTGGAGAGGACTTGATGTAACAGGGCTTCTAATCTGGTGTTTACCAACCAGGTGTGCGTGTACCCCAGAGGGTACTTAGAAACATTTCCATTTTACTTTGTTAAACATGTCTTCGTCGCCTGGAAGTCACAGGTTCTCATTAAAATGTGCACTAATGGCGGTGTAGTCGCTCGTGGGTGATATTTCATACTTGTCGAGCTCCGGCGGTTTTTAAATTGCACCATTCAAAGAGTGCAAATGACTTTACGTTTGTTAAACGTCCCATCTGGATTTTCATTTTTAAATGAATTTGCAGTTAGGTCTTACTCTGAGAATATTTCTGTATGATTGTCCCCAGAAGTGTCACAACTGTGAAAGACAAACAAGCGCAGGTGTCTTATTAAGTGAAGAAGTAGCTTAGTCAGTTGGCTTTTCACACAGTCTTGATTGTTATAAGTTAAGTAAATGATTAGCCAACTATTTTTATACTATGAGTGATAATTCTACATGATATCTAGTACAATGCAAGTTAAAATTAATACAATTCAGAAATCATTCAACATAACACAAAAATAAAAAGTTTTTTTTTTCTTTATGCTGAAAAAGTTGGAATACTGCTGTAACAGAAATACTCAACATGCTCAAGATTTCCATTTATTTCAATCAACTTTTATTCAGCAAGAATACATAAAATTGCTCAAAAGTAGCAGTAAAGACTTTTACACTGTTTCAAAATATTTCAAATAAATGCCTATAGTGTTTATTCTTACACTGACAAACCAAAATGTTGGTTTAATAATTGTATGGTTTTATCAGGTTAACATGTTTACATGATAATTGGAATATGACCAAATTGTGATATTTCCTTGTTCAAATTCAAGCATTTATCTTACTGTTGCTGTCTTTAAGTGCCTTCAATCTGCCTGTGGTACATGGAGTGTGCAAGTGTGCTCCCCTATCAACAATGAGTCCAATCTGAAGTTGACTCTCTCCTGACCTTCTTTTCTTAGACTTGAGCTCTGTATGCTGGAAACTGAAAACAGCACAACATAACAACTCTAAAATGCCCCAAGATGTGTCTGAGCAGTTCAAGGGAAGTGTTTACATCATCTGCAAGGTCTAAAGCAGATATTATTTTACTTTTCCCCATCCACCTAAAACATAAGCCAATTTTCATATGGGCCAGGTGCTCAAAACTGATCTGTGCTGTACTATAAGAAACTAATCATTTCTGTGCCAACAGGTCGCATGGATTTTCATCCACACTGCACAGTTCACATTCATACCTCTTTTGAAGTGTTTGGCTTCCTCATAACTAAGTAAAAAACTAGACATACAAGTTTGGAACAACATGATAAATGATGACAGAATTGCAATTTTTATGTGAACTATTCCTTTAGACGTTCCTCACAGTCACGCAGACTACCTTACTGTATAAGTTCTAAGCTGTACGAACACTCTGAAAGTGAGATGAAATGGCACTACTCAACTAAACCGAATAGTGTGACGCAACCCACTGAAGAGTGCAGAGAAAATCTGTTTAATTACATTTTTTTTCAACTATGCAGTGCAGACCGATTCACTGGGTCGTGGAAGTAACATTTCCACTTTACACTTTCCAGCGAGTCATATTTGACCTTTTTTTAGTTGCTGTTTGCTCTCAAATCATGGCAAACATGCTTAACAAAATGAGAATTTTTTTATTAAAAATTAAACTGCAGTTTTTTTAAAGGGGTCATGAACTGCATTTTTCATTTTTTTTATTTTATAATGTTCTTTAAGGTTCACTTATAATGTTAGTGTGATATTACATAAAAAAAACATCAAAATTTAGAAGTAATAGGCTATTTTCTATTCTGTTTTTTGAGCCTCTCTGCAGAACGCTCTGTTTTTATAGGCAGAGCAAATTCAAGACTCGCAAGTAAACGCCCACTGCTGTGATTGGCTAACAGTTTTGCTTATTAAAATAACAGATTGATGCTGTTGTGATGTACTCTGAAAACAACATGGGTCATTTGGGTTAAAAACTTATAAATACTCAGTATATATCAAATGGTCTGGAACAGACACTGCAATAGTTGTAAAAGTACGTTTACTCCCACTTGTGTGTTGCGACATTAGACAACAGAACCCATTATAATCAGCGATTCTGTCTACACTGGACGTGGCACGAATATTATGTCCTGCTCTATTTCTGACATACAGTACAAGCATCTGCGCAGCTTCTGACCTGAAAGAGAAATTGATTAGTGAAATGACGCAACAACGCTCGTTGTTAGGATTACAAGGAAGGATATTCAAAAACTATTTTTCGCAACTTACACTACACAGTGTCTTGTAATCTTGTAATGTCATCTGTATGGTTCTGTTGATGGAGTAATCCTGTGTTTGCGTCACTCTAGTATTTCCTCTCCTCCTACTACAGGCGCATATCAGTACGGGGAGGTGGGGGGTGAGAGGCGGTGATGTAGAAGCAGTTGTTGATCTTCTCCTGCGGAGGCAGTGCTTGGCCACACTGTTACGTTATAAAGTGGCACATTCCAAAACGAGTCGTTTTCTGGTTTCAGGATGGTTTTTTTTATAGTACATTGACCTATTATATGTCAAAAGATCAAGGGAACTTTGATTTCTCAGTTCATGACCCCTTTTTTCAATGGTTTTCTTGCCTAGTGACATTGCATTTGTGATTTGTAATAACTTCAGTGTTTCTCTCAGTGCTTTCCTCCATCAATACCTTCCCTCCAGCTTTAGTTGTACTTATTTATCTTAATAAATACCAGCTAATTTAATCTACTTTGAAGCAATTTTGTAATTAGCTGTCCGTCTTGTGTTCAGAAGGTAAATAGTAGGAAGCAGGGAAAACTAGGTGCCCTGAACCTCACTGAAAAAAAAATATATATATAAATATATATATATATATTTGAAGGTTTTAGCAGGTTACAGCTGGTCTTCCAGCTTTGCTAAGGCTGGTGTTAAGCTGGTTTAACTGGTCAACCATCTGGTCTCCCAACCAGACCAGCTAACAAGCCCTCAACATCCCTCTAAAACCCTCAGAATAGATTGGTATATAACTAGTTTGACCAGGCTGGGAGCCAAGAAAACGACTTTAAGTTGCTTTAACTGACAATATCAACAAGTGCAAATTGTCAAAAAAGTGGGAATTAACCACAAATCACAAAACTACTCACAACAATATGTGTGCATGACAAAGTTGTTTTATACCAGAAGGACAAGTATGGGAGAGACTAATGTCTGTCATTACACAAGGCCACATAAATGCCCATCATGTCATAATGAGTCTAATCTTTCACTCAGCAAATCCTGCCGGACCTGAGAAGAACCTGGGATTGGGCTGCTCAATTTTACAAACCCTGTACTACCCTACAGTACTTAAACAGACATTTGGTGGTCTAATTAAATTAGCATGCAAAGGTAGAGAGGAAAGATTAAAAAGTGTTCTATGAAGAGAAAGAACATTTGTTATGGGACACATTTCTCATGGCCAATTAAGGTAGTATACAAAATTAACAACCTGTATCACATTACGGCTGTGTTCCAATTTGTTCAGCCTTTTAACTTATGAGAGTTTGCTTCCTGTGAGCTAGTGAGGAAAGTCTGTCAGAGACAGAGACTAAGTGTGTGTATAAAAAATTACAACAAATTTTTCTTTCAGGTCTGTCCTGTTGATCCAATACTTCTCCTTTCTGTTCTGATGTCCTCCTCAAAGAAATGTCCAGAAAGGTTTGGTAAATTAATAGGCGTATAGCAGTTTTAACTTCTCTTTTTAGCACTGAAAACTGGGAGATCTTGAAAACAGCACCAAAACAACATGTGGGATGCTTGTACTCAACATAAGTGAGATCCAAAGGACTGTAGCTGAAGTGCTTGGTCTGGACATACAACAGAATACTTGAAAACCCCATCAAGGGCATTCTGGAGCTAAACATGCAGTCATATTATACACAAGCCAATTTCCCAGAACAACTGATATAAAATGTCTATTAATACAGGTCATAGAATGCAGTCGTCTCTACTGAGAAAAAAAGATAAACCCACTCAGGGTCACCACAGCCCCGATTCACCTGCAGCTAGAATGAATGGTGTGTCAGAAAAGGTTGAAAGAAAACAGAAGTGCCCTTACCCTGCCATGACAATGAAAAAGTCCAGTCTGTTCCAAGTATCGCCAAGATAACAGCGATGGCCAAAGATCCCCAGAGCCACCATCTTCACCACCATCTCCAGTGCAAAGAAAATATAGATAAATGCATCGAATGCCTAAAAGATAGAGAGGACACATGTATAACACAGTGTATGTTTTAACAGAGCTGATAACATTTTTAATCTAATGTTTTATGGCTTTGAGACTATCACTATAATGTGCTCCCAAAAATTGGCAAACACATCACAGATTCATCAAATAAGATGCTCTCTAGAATGAGAATGTCCCTCCCCCCAATACCACAGATTCTCAGTATACTTTTTAAAGTTGTAAAGCCAAGTTGTTCAAGTTTAAATAAATTCTTAAAAATAATGATAAACAAATAATAAATAATTTGAATAAAAATAAGAAATAAGAAATAATAAAATACTTTTTTGGAAAACAGATCCAGCATTAGATTAGGTCTTTCACTTGCTGGCTGATTGCAAAGGCTGGTGTTTTTCAGGAAAAAATATGTTTAAAAAAGTCACTGATTGACAGATGTAACGATAGATAGAGCGACAGAACAACAGAAATATAGAAAGACAGACAGACAGACAGATAGACAGATAGATAGATAGATAGATAGATAGATAGATAGATAGATAGATAGATAGATAGATAGATAGATAGATAGATAGATAGATAAACAATTACATAACAACAGAGACAGACACGGCATAATTATTTTAATTTACAGAACTGTATGCTCTGCAGATATAACTTCTGAGCATTCAAATTTGCTCTGTGAAGGACTAAGTAACCAAAATAATTACAATGTGTTGCACGGCATCGTTTTTTTTCTAATGTACAGTATCTGACAGCCAATGAGAGCTAATGAGATCTTGACATAAGTCAAAAGCTGAATGTGCCTGAAAAGAAACCATGAAGTCCAGTCAGCACCCAGCCTGTTCACCCTTACTTCACCTGACCCTGGACGACCCATCCTGCATCTCATTTCCCAACCGTCGCTGAGATGACTGACGATCAGAGCAGATGATCCATTTGACAGAAAGCATTTCTTTCATAAACAATTGAGTCGCACGCAGACTTAAAGAGGGCTGTTAATTAGCTCCGAAAACACTCCGACGCGTGATTGTCGCTGTCAAAGCCCTGCTGCGTTCTTATTACGCCGCCACAGATATAGCTGGGATTTCGAGCGACTGATTACACAGACCAGTCAAGCCGCGATCGCCCTCATCATTGGCTTTCTTTCTGCTCTCATGTTGGTCACTCATTCAGTTTTTAAGTTCAACCCTGCAGGGATAATTATAACGATGTGAGAAGTGTAATTTTCTTGCACACGCATGCAGAAAATAGAACGTCTGTTACATTGTGCCCCTTAGTCTTAGTCACTTTGCATGTCCCCAGTTGCCAAGCTGAATTGATACAGGTTTTGTTTCACACTACGGTGTGTTTATGTGTGATACAGGGAGGGGGCCGTTGGGCAGTGATGCCAATTTGGATGGCCGCCCACACAAGAAACGGAGTGTTTGAAACCGGCCGGTGCGGGTGAGCAGAACAGCACTGGTTTAAGATCCCCTGTGGGACCAGAGGATGCAAACCTCCTGGTGCCAAGAGGACGCTTCCTCTAAAGCTACCTTATTCCACGCGCCATACCTGACATATGGCTCTCTATACGAGTCCGTACACACACAGCAAGCAGGAGAGAGACAGACTTTCGTTCCTGCCCACACAGATTTAATTTCAACCCTGTCTTTTTGTTTTGCAGTCAATCCAAAAAGCTAATGTGAGAAATATCGCATTGCAGACCTTCTCAATTTGCATTACTCTTTTCAAAACTCTTTTTACACAATGAAAGTACAGCTCTGAACAGCGAGAGCTCACTGAGGGAATACTGTTAACCATCTTGACTGATAAAACTTTGAGTCATGGCTCTCGCTCCATTTCAGCGGCACCTATGAGAAGGTAAAGCTGACGTCTGATGGCTCTGGCCCGCCGTAAAGTAAGCCACTTTCACAGGTAAGCCTGAGATATGAGGTAAGCTCAAAGTCAGCATTATTTCTTAATTGGGATATGCACTGTGGAAAGTGATTGGGAACTGCTATAAAACTCATTCAATTTAGCGGAAAACCTAGTCATTAGGCCTAGTCATTCTCGATAATTTATCTCTTGGACTAAAAGCCTATAAGATGACTTACAGTCATGCATACATTGGTGAATATTATGAAAAAAGTGGGGGAAAATACTACTACTATTTCAACGGATATCTAAATATGAAAGTCATCATTTACTTTTACATTTATTTAGTTTCATGTTGCTCCAAACCCATATGAATGACTTTCTTCCACAGAACACAAAATAAAAATATTTGGAATAATTGTACTGCTTGCTCTTTTCCCTCCAATTGCAATGAATTATTTTAAAAAGCAGAAAAGCAGAAACCATAAAAGTGGTTTATACAACATGAGTTCTATTTTCCAAGTCTTCTTAAGCCACATTTGAATGACAAACACCCTGAAACACACTGAGTCATTTAGTTTTAGTGAAAAAAATAAAATAAATAAATAACTAAAAACTCATTACTGACTCAAACAAATCATGAATTTGTTCATGATTCTGACATTGCTGTCATAAACTTGCAAATGTAAGTGTAGGTAGATGTCAAGATTTTCAGTGAATACCTTAAATTTAGACTTCAGCAGAAGATTAGGAATATAGTGTCATAATATAGCTGTCATATTGACCCCCTTTTATCATACTTTTATGGTGTTTTGTGTCCTTTTTAAAGCATGGAAGACTTAGTCTATCTTCAGTGTAACAACATGAAAAAGAATGATCATCACCAACTGCATCATTCCAAATACTGTATTTTCCTTTTGACCTCCACAAAAGAAAGAAAGTCATACAGGTGGAAGAACATGAGTGAGTAAATGATGAGTTTTAAAGGTGAGCTAATCCCTCGTGTTCATGTTTAAGCTGTGCCATGAAAGCCGAATTGGAGCAGAGCCATAGGCAATGATTTTTCTAACACACAACGATCATATACGTTTTTATGTGAGGTCTCTGAACAGACTCCCTGGACCCAGCCATCACATCCAGGCAAGCTAATGAACACAGCAGGGCTCCTGGGACAGTGGATGCATGGAGAGTTTAGAGGACACATAAAAATGTCCCCAAAGCTCCCAAAAGATGACATAAGCAATTAAAGGCCATCCTCTGTTAAAGCCCCCCCCCCCCCCGTGTTCTGTCCGCTTCGTCAACCTCTCAGAGTAAGAGAGAGCCTCATTAACCACAGAGTGTCGAAAAGGGATGATGATAATAAATGGAGGGAAAGAAAGGAAGAAGACTGTGTCTTGAGACAAGATGGGCTGGGAATCTGTGTATGATCCTTAAACTCTCTGTAACTGACATTTAAAAAAATGCATTTTGACAAGGCACATTAACAACATTCAGGGCTGGTCTGTTGCAAGTTTATTTATATATCTGAAAAGAGACAAATACAGATTATCTGTTCCAAAACCTTCTGAGCTTCCTATGAAGGCAGCATTTTAAGGCATCTTAGGTTTGCTCCTGCTGTGATGGCTGTTCAAAAAGGTAACTTTGTACATTTTAATTATGCTTCAAATATTTCATGTATGCTTTGCGGAGAAGAAACAGTTATACTGTACTGTCAGGGAAAATAAAGCCCTTTGTACAAAGGGTACAGAGCTTGTCATTGGGGCAGCACCCTCAAATGGACAACTGTGTACTTTATCTACTCCTAAAAGGTGTATAATTGTACCTTAGGGCAGTAATATGCACTAGGTATAGTTCACCCAAAAAAAGACAATTCTGTCATCATTTACTCACCCTTATGTCAGTTAAGACTTTTGGTTAATTAAATTAAGATAATTTTAATGAAACCTTAGAGGTTTCCATACACTGAAAGTCCAGGTAACCAAAAATTAGAAGATCCACAAAGATCATAAAGCAGGGGTGTCCAAACTCAGTCCTGGAGGGCCGATGTCCTGCAGAGTTTTGCTCCAACTTGCCTGATGGTAAGTTTCTAGTATGCCTATAAGAGCTTGATTAGCTGGTTCAGGTGTTTTTAATTGGGGTTGGAGTGAATCTCTGCAGGACACCGGCCCTCCAGGACCGAGTTTGGGCACCCCTGTCATTAAGGCACCATAAAATGAGACCACATCAAATGAGCTGTTTAATCAAAGACTTGAGAAGAGATATTGAGAAACAGAATTAATTTAGTCTTATGTTTTGGGTGAGGAATGACAGACCATTTGCTCTATGACATTTAGGATGCTGCCTTAGTAGGTTGCTCAGCATGTTTTGGAACAGTTAGTTTGCGTGTTTATGTGTCCACACTGACCTGTAGAATCTGACAGCGCTCTGAGGTGCAGTCGATGTTCTCGCAGGGCTGGTACATCCCCAGAGTGACGCAGTTCAGCAGGATCACCATGATACTGATGCGCTCGAACCATGTGAGGAAGCATATGTTAAGGCTAATATTTATCAGCAGACAAGTAATTACAATAATACACAAAATTAGACATTTTTTTAATTAGGTGCTTAACCGTGGGAAAATTGCTATCACAATGCTAGGACATACACTTGTTTGAGGGTCAGTAAGATTTTTATTCTGAAGGAAATTACTCAGCAAGAGCAATAAAGGCATTTCTATTGTTACAAAATATATCCGTTTCAAATAAATTGTACTTTTGAACTTTCTATTCATTAAAGAATTCTGAGAAAACCCCCCCACAAATGACACAGTTGAACTGTTTTCATAATTGATAATACGTAATGTTTCTTGAGCACCAAATCAGTATATTAGGATGATTTTTGAAGGATCATGTGACACTGAAGACTGGAGTAATGACTGCTGAAAACTCTTTGCCATCACAGGAATACATTACATTATAAAATATATTAAAATAGAAAACAGTTAATTTAAATGAATTTAAATTAATCATACATCACAAGAGTACAAGTTTTTTGTGTGTTTTGACTAAATAAATGCAGCCTTGGTGAGCATAAGATACTTTTTTTTTTTTTTTATCTAACTGACCCCAAACTTTTGAATAGTTGTCTAATTTAGCAGTTTGCGACATAATTTCTAGCAGAATAAGTTCTATGCTGCAGTTTAATACTTAGGGTTTTGGGTTTATTCATGTCACTGGTGAGTATTGCTTCCTAAGCAAATTCAGAAACAAGATTAGCTTTTCAGATTTATCTCTACTGTAATTAGCTGTGTTTGGGGGTGAATTATGACACCACTAATAATGCTAAATCTTAAAAAAAAAAAGTTCCTGAATTTGCTTCATAAGCATAAAATATTCACCGATCATCACACAATGTAATATCTTGTTTATTGTGTGTATACAGTATATATTACTTTACAATGAAGGTATAATTTATTATCTCACACCAGTGTAAACTCATCAAATTAACAAACACTGTACTGTATGAACTGAACAAATCCAAAGAAGACTCCACTCAATGAATGCAACCTTCACAGCAAAAGCACATCACAAAGAAACATAAAAAGGCATTTGTCACCCCTCCTCCCTCAGGCCTGTTAGCTGGAGTGAAATCTTCAGGCCTCTCCACTAAATCTCTACAAGCCTCATCTCTTCACCTTTATGGACCATTTCTTTTTCAATTTACTCTACTCCGTCTTTTCCTCCGGCTTGGTCAACCTTTTAGCAAGCTATTTTTTCGTCTGCCCCTCCTCGTTTAAATTCCTTGTTCACTCCATCATGTTTCTCTCTTTCTCTCTCCCTCTTGCCTCTCATCTCCAACACTTTTTATCTTGTTATAGTTTATCTTGTTTATCTTGTTTATCTTTTTATCAGTCTTTTATTTCTTGTTTTCATGAAACCTTTTCCAGTGTTTGAACTTGAACCACAGAACAAAAGGATTTTGCTTTGTGCTGGATCTAACAGCGCTATACATTCCTCAATTAATTAGGAACTACCAAAAATGCACTGCACCGGAAAGAGGCTTCTGGCACTCAGCAAAATGTGATTTATGGGCAATTTTTCACTTATTTCCCCCTTCAACCACATCCAAACTTTCAATGAGAAAAAAATGTACATTTCAATATGCATGTGCTATTAGACTAAGGGATTTGCCACAGTGTTGGCCACACTCTGAACTTGCGTGTGTAATATTGTTAATAGCCTCGCAGGCTTGTGTTCCTGCTTTAATCATTAGAATGGAGACCGCAACCCCCATAGGGCTAAAGCAAGCACCCGCATCATGCTGTAAAGTGTTCACTATGGTTACTGCAGGAAATTGCTCCTTTCTATTTTATATTATTGTGGATACCTCATCAGGTTCTAAGGCGAGCTTTTGGCAGAGGGAAAATAGCGCCCACAGAAACACTTAAATGACATTAAAGGGACAGGAGCACAGAATCAATCTAACAGTACTTTTTTTAGAGAGAGAGAGAGAGAGAGAGAGAGAGAGAGAGGAAGAGAAGAGACAATGCCGATAGATTGACAGAAACATAGCCCGTTTATTTAAAGAAAGATGGAAAGAAGGCTGACGGGGCGTGAAATGAGACAATCACATGCACACAAGGAAAACATTTAACTCAAAGAAGTTACTGGGGAAAAAAATGTAGATAGTCACAGTAGGATCAGTGAGGATGAGGATTTGCAGCTGATTTTGATTCAGGACCTGATCTCACTTTGGATATCTAGTGGCAACCAAACACAGTTCCAGAACTGTTTATCATACAAAAGTCAATAAAAATGTCCTTAAAAATCAAATGCTGGAATTTATTAAAAGGGGCATGAAATGGAGAATCAAAATGCTCTTGATATTTACACATAGGACAGGTTACTCTGCAACAAAAACATACTGCACGTTACAAACCTCTAAATTAACTCTGCAGTTTAAAATGTGAATTATTCTTTTTAAAAAAAGTGACGTGACATGTGGCCCATACTTGGAATTAGTGCTCTGCATTTAACCCATCCAAAGTGCGCACACACAGCAGTGAACACACACACAGTGAACACACACACGGAGCAGTGGGCAGTCATTTATGCTGTGGCGCCCGGGGAGCAGTTGGAGGTTCGGTGCCTTGCTCAAGGGCACCTCGGTCGTGGTATTGAAGGTGGGACAAAGCACTGTCCATTCCCTCCTCCCACCTACAATCCCTGCCGGTACGAGACTTGAACCCGCAACCTTTGGGTTACGAGTCCGACTCGCTAACCATTAGGACACTCATTTGTAGCATTCTGAAATGCCCAGATTTGTAATTGTGAGCATTGTGATGTCACGATTCTCCTCGACCCGCCCCTTACTTCAAGATCAATGAGTCTATCAGTGATTTGATTTCTGCATTTTCACCAAAACTCCCATTATGATCAATAACACGATTTAGCTAACGCTTTAGAATAGGGAACACTTATTCACTATTAATTACGACTTTTCCCTTAATAAATTCCTAATTTGCTGCTTATTAATAGTTAGTAAGGTAGTTGTTAAGTTTAGGTATTTGGTAGGATTAGGGATGTAGAATAAGGCATTAATTAGTACTAATAAATGGCTAATATTCTAGTAATATGCATGCTAATAAGCAACTAGTTAAGAGACTCTAAAATAAAGTGTTACCACAATTTATACAGCTCAACAAACCTCTTATTTACATCATGTTTTCAGTGTGTTAGTTATGATGAATGTATTGCAATAGGATGATCATGACATGACTGTGTTCAGCTACAATGCAAGGCTGCAACTTTTGATGCAACAGGATTTCATCTGCAAAGATGAGTGAGCATTTACATTGAACTCTCACTGCGGACAAATCTATTCAAATCAGAGGACTAAATTCAGGATAGAAAACTAAAATAAACAATAATTGAAAAAAAAGAGAAAAACTAGAAAAAGAAAATAATTAACAGTATAAATATGAATCAAAACAAAATACAAAAGTTAAAAAGACAACGTCACAGATTTTCAAATACGTTTTGTATTGTTAAAATGTGGGTAGTATACTAAATTAACTACGTGTACTCTCTCTCCATGTTACCTGAACACACATAAAGACATTTATTTGTCTGTAAAAGTCACCCGAGTCATATAAAACACGTCGTCTGGCTGTCAAATAAACGGGATATCTGGGTGCATGTTTATTTCTGATGAATAAACAGGGATATCTCATGCAGGTTACATAGAAAGCATACACATTTTATGTTTACATATACTACCAACACCGTAACAACAATACAAAGCTGGTTGTAAGTCTGCAAAGTTGTCTTTTAAATCAAATTAAATATAGTTAAAATAGTTAAATAGTTAAAAAAGAGAGATACAAAAGCTAGCTCATCTTTTAAATAGAATGCTATTTTACTCTATGTAGGCAGATCACAAGGACATACATATTTATTTTAATAAACTAAAATGTTTATGGGCAGCAGGATTGAAACGATTAGACGACATATCAAATATTTTTGTCAAATTGTTGTTTGATCTCAAATCACCTAATGTAAGGGTCTGCAATAACGCAATTTGACCAGTGTGGCGCTGCAGCACAAGACGAATCATTCTGATAATTGTTATATTAATTATCAATATAATCATTTGTTGCAGCTCTAATGGAGAGTAAATATTCCCAATTTACTCACCGCTGGCCAATATGACAAAGGTTTGGCATACCTTTGATAAGTATGCAAAATGGCTCAATAAGATCATGCATGATGTATTAGAAAGGGAAAGAGGAGGGTCAGAGTATCAACAGCCAATCACAAACACTTACAATCAGGCCTCCTGAGGCCCATCAGGCAAATGACACAGCACCAATGCCCATACATATGCCATCAGAGCCACAGTGATTAAGCGTAGCACTGAGAGAGAGAGAAAGATGCACAAGAGAGAGGAGGAGCAGATGGATGATAAGCGTGATTAGTGACGAAACAAGTTCATTTTGAGAGCAGCTTGATCAGTTACAAGTGCTTGCTGATTAAGACAGCCACGAAAAGTTTATGAACAGTAAGATTTTTTTTAAATAATTATTTTCTGCTCACCAAGCCTGCGTTTATTTGTCCCAAAATACAGCAAAAGCTTTCTATTTTAATATATTTTAAAATGTAATTTATTCTTGTGATTTCAAAGCTGATTTTTTCAGCATCATTACTCCAGTCTTCAGTGTCACATGATCCTTCAGAAATCATTCTAATATGATTTATATATAATATAATGATTTGCTGCTCAAAAAACATTATTAATATTATTAATATTTAAAACAGTTGAGTACATGTTTTTCAGGATTCTTTGATGAATTATTTAACCTCTTAACTGTCACCCCCCCTTTGAACATAGACGTGAAAATGCACTATTCAAACTTAAATTGTTATAATTCATAAACGTTTTTGAATACAGACCTAAGGTTGATCTCTTTTTAAAGAAGACAATCGGCAGATTATTGCAGAAATCATTTAAAAATAATGAA